TTCTGTCGAACAACTCGTGCGATGGTATGTTTCCCTTCTAGTTCATGGTTGTTGTTAGGCCCTCACTAAGTCTTTGTGACTTACCCCTTTCTATTATTTTTCAACTAGATTCCCAGGCAGATGAGTAGCAGGCTGCTGGCAGACTCATTGTTCAAGTTCTACTGTTATTTCATTTTGGTAGGCCTCCTTTGTGTTGGTGACCATTTGAGGTTATTTTGGGACTATATGTATATTCTGCAGCAATAGGGAGTTTAGTTAATGCTTCTTTTTTTTTAATGATACTTTTTTATTTTATAATAAATGTCATACAAATTTTAACTTGAAATGAAAGAGTCATGTTTAATGTTAAACTTTTACAATTGTATTCACAATTAAAAACTATTTATATACATATCAAGTAAGAGACATGTTAAACGATAAATTAATAGCATGACAATTATATGTACCTATTTACTTATTATTGGGTGATAATTTTGTTTCTCTTTTAATCACCACATTAAATTTTAAGTACTGAAAATTGATAAATACTCCATTTTTATTTTGAAATAATTTTGAAATGCAATATATGAAATAAACCTTTAATTTTATATTTATATGTATTATTACATTTATAGTAAATGATATTACATATCATATTAATGTTAACATGAATTATTAATGATGTATAAAAAGTATTCTGAAAATTTCTTTTGGTAATGTGGGCAAAGAAACAAAAACACGAAACCAAAAAGAAAGAGAATTCACTAGGGTCGCCCTAGTGGTTGGGGGTTTGGGTAGTTTAGCATGAGGTTCCAGGTTCAAACCCCATTGCTTTTCTTGTACACAAAAAAAGAAAAGAAAGAGAAACTAAAGCCTAGTGTAAATCATGCCAATAACATCTGAGTGCAGCAACAACAAAATCCCATCTGGTGGATCCTGGAAATGGCGAATGGGAATTTGATCCTCAGTTCTCATCTTAGCTAGGTAATTTGCACAATAGTTACCCTCTCACAAAATGTGCTGTAAAGTTACATTACATTCTCTGGTCATATAATTCTGAATTTCCTTAATGATGAAAGCATGAAGATGAAAATCAAAGACACCCTGTTGAATTAGATTGTGAGTCAGACATGCATTTCAAGTCCTTGACATGTAAGTCCCAGCACATGAGCAATCCCTTTAGAATAGCTACTAGTTCTGCTTCCAAAATATCCATATTACTCAAATAACCATGATAGCCTCGAATCCAAGAGCCTTGATGATTCCTGACAATCCCACCAAATCCAGCTCTACCTTGAATTACACTTCCATCTGTGTTTAAGGCCACTTGCTCAGTTGAAGGAGGTTCCCAACGGATCAAACAAGGAGGATTAGGAGTTTAATTAGAGTGAAGATAAAAAAAACTCTTTGGACGATAGAATAAAGGGAATTAATCTCAAAATCCAATTCATTAACACTAACATCTTTGTTTTAAAATTTAAATGCATTCCTGCTAGTCCATACTTTCCACAATGTAGCCAAAAACAAGGATCCTGATTGTTGAATTCCAGCTAAAATCCAATTACGGGCAGAGTCATTGTTACTAGCAACATTAATATGGGGTAGACCCACGTGCATCCAAACAAGCTGAGCTTTGTTACAATCTGTTAGACAATGCAATATGCTTTCTGTTGCAATACCACACCGAGAACAAGTACCATCTAGAGGTAGGCAACGATGATCAAGAATACCCCTCGTTGGTAGCGACTCATGACAAATCAAACAGATAAAGAAACAAATACTTTCTGGAACTTGAAGTTTCCAGATCCTATTCCATACAGAATGTTTGTCTTCAAATGTTTCCTGGGTTAGCCACTTGTAAGCACTTCAAGCTGTATAAACACCAGAAATTGATTGTGACCAAATAACAATATCAGGTATTCCTTCACAAAGACAGGGTGAAATGTTCTGAAAAATCTCCAACATATCAAGAGGAATAATTGTCCATAATAACAATAAATTCCATGTGCCATTCAACCATAAATCTTTAATCCTTATATTCATATCATGAATATCTATATAAGGAACCTTAGCACCTATAGGGCCACAATTGAGTCAATTATCAAACTAGAAATTGGAATCTCCATTCCCTAATTTTAAACTGAAATCCCGGAGAAAGCTCTTGTCGAGCCTTTAGAATGGAATTCCAAACAAAAGAGCCTCTTTCCATAGGGATGTTCAAAATATGCTTGCCCTTCAAATATTTCGCAGTAAATATCTGGACCCATAGCTAATTACTTGTTGGTCCCATAGGAATCTAGAAGGGGGGTTGAATAGATTCCCAAAAACTTGTTCCTTTTTCAAAATCAAAAATCATTTTCCCTTTTCTAATTTGCCTTCAAGATTCTTTCAAATTGAGTTTTCAAAAGATAAATTTTCATAGTTTAAAATCAAATGTGCAACGGATCAATGAGTTGCGGAAGGTAATTGATTACAAAACTTGATGCAGCGAGTAATTGATTAACAAGATTGAATACTCAATTTTGTGATTCAATTTTCAATGTTTATTTTAATATTCTAGCAGCAATCAACTAACACTTAAATATTTACAATTATTATGCAGATCAAGATTCAAATTTATATGCCAAGAAACTCAACTCAAATAGAGTAGGGATAGAGAAGATCACACAGTTGTTTATACTGGTTCAGCCACAAAAAGAGACCTACATCCAGTTTAGATTTAGCACACCACTAAGCCTGCTTTCACTATAGAATTGATTACAAACACCATGCACATTCAATCCAAAAGAAAGACTTTCTAACAAACAAACAAAGGTTTGACTCTTGCACCCCACAAGAGCATGTTCTTCAATGACACCCCGTCATACGAACATCAACTGTCACGACCCAAATCCAATGTCGTGACCGGCGCACAGACTAATATCCTTAGCCAGGCAAGCCTAAAACAATAGTACAATACTTGACAAATGATTTTCCAAGATAAACATATTTTCAGGATTTTACAGAAATTTTGATAGAGTCTCCCCTATATTTTGGACATTCCAAAATTTACAGAAAATCCTGTTATCATCAATTATTACCAGCTAGAGTTTCCAATACCACATTATTTATCCAATCAACATCAAAATACACATATCAATATAAAATAATGACTAAACTCCCTATAGCTGCAGAATATACATATAGTCCCAAAATAACCTCAAATGGCCACCAACACAAAGGAGGCCTACCAAAATGAAATAACAGTAGAACTTGAACAATGAGTCTGCCAGCAGCCTGCTACTGATCTTCCTGGGAATCTGGATGAAAAATAATAGAAAGGGGTAAGTCACAAAGACTTAGTGAGGGCCTAACAACCACCATGAACTAGAAGAGAAACATACCATCGCACGAGTTGTTCGACAGAAACAATTGACAGTATAAAATTTATTTCTCAACATAAAACTTGCTAAACACATGAGTTTGATAAATCCCACAATCTAAAATAACTTGTTTCGAATATCCAAGAGGTAAGTTTTTCATTTCCAAAGCAATATAAATTTATCATGTATAAATTTAATAAGTAAATCTGAAATGAAATTAATTGAGTAAAACACAAATCATATGAAATGTAAATACAATAGGGATCACTCATGATAGAACCGAGAGGCGGCTCCATCTCGTTGATAGCCCTCTCCTTCGAAGGGTGGCCTTTCCCATGGGGCGGCTCCATCTAGCGCATGGGGCCCTCTGGTACTTGCTCCGTTTGCGTTGTGGTGTGGGACCCTCTGGTACTTGCTCTTTATGTATAGATTCACCTATGGAAGATGTTATTCACTGTCTAAGAGTCTACGAGTTTTTCACAAATCCGAATGAGTTAAACTGGTCTCCAACGGGTTAACTACAGTTTCGATCCGATTATTTGCTCGAACCGGTCATATGACCGGTTTCTGGCCGAACTGGTCCGACCAGCCGGTTCGAGCCGAGTTTTATAACACTACTTGTGGTTGATGATTCTTCTTCTTTCTCCTCAAAAGGATGACCAAATCTTCTCTTCCTCTCTCTAACCTCTCTCTAGGATGAAGAAGCAACAATTAATGACCTTCATAAATGACCTAGGTTGAGTTTTTAAAAAACTGACTCGCGCATTCTCACTTGAGCGAGAATACTAAAGTGGTTTTGTTTTCAGGTTCTCGCTCAAGCGAAGGGCTCCTCGCTCGAGCGAGAATACTACATAGAGCATCCTTTCTCTGGATTATTCTCGCTCAAGCGAGACCCTTCTCGCTTTAGCGAAAATCTTCTAGAGAGAACCTTAACAGCAGGACATTCTCACTCAAGCGAAAACATCAGAAGCTGATTTTCCCAAGTTTGTTGATATTTTCGCTCAACCGAGGCCATCTCGCTTGAGCAAGAATGCTATAGAATGGAAATCCTGAATTTCCATCCAAGCCTTCTCCAATACTTTTACCCTCTTTTCTTAGTTCCTTTTTATAGAAACACCTTTCTAATCCTAGTTAGTTTATTAAAAAAATGGTTACGAACTTTGGGATGTTATAGAGGGCACATGACCTTTGATGTCAAACCTCTCTTTCATGTGGGAAAGGCATCATGTTGAAGAAGCCATAGAAAACAAAGTTATACTACTATTTTTAGGGCCTTTATATCCCAACATTGTTTCTAGTTGTCATCTGGCTAATTGTCTTGACTAGGCAATCATAGGCTAGGAGCCATATGTAATCCTAGTTGAGTAGACACTTGAGATGCAAGAGTTTTATGCCATGATATTTGGTAAAATCACACCTAGTGACCTTTTTTTTTGCAAAATCGCACCTAGTGCCCCGTGTTATTAAACTCGAACCAATCATTAACTTGATCAAGACATCGAGTTAATGGGTCATTGGTTCAATCGATGAGTTTTTGAACCAGTTAAACCGAAAATATATTAAAATATGATAATAAAAATATATGTATTTATTTAATTTTTTGTTCAAATGTACAGTTGTATGAATTATATATTAAAATTGGTACATATGTAGTAGGAAGCAAGTGTGGTTTAGTGGTGTTACTACTTGACCAACAAGCGAATGGCCAGGGTTTGAATCCCTGTGGATGCAATCTCAAATATTCTATTAAAGTAAAGAACAATTGCTCCCAATACGTGTAACCCAAACCGAGTTGGTTATACCAATTTATGACCAGTCCGTGACCGGTTCTAATGCATATTTGAACTGAACCCTTAACTGGACCAGCCATGGCTAGGTCAGACTGGTTTCAATAACATTGCTAGTAACTTTGCTACCTTTATTACATCATTGAGTAAATATTCATAACTCTTGTAGTATTGAAGACTAGTATTCCCTACCCTATTTGTGAAGACTAGTATTCCCTGCCCTATTTGTGGTCAGAGTTTTTTATTTTAATTTAGAACAAATTTTAAAATGGAAAAACCTAACCATACATAGGTAGATGTCGACTCAAAATTATAATTGGAGCAGTATCTATTACAAGAGCACTGAAAATGGGAATTGCTTTTGGAACCCCTTTTTTACTTTTAACTCTCTCTCCCTCGTTTTTCCTTTCATCTCTGAAAAATACCCCTTTTCAACCCAAATCTCTCCCAACCCTCTCCACCATCAACCACCCTCCTCCATCGTCAGTCACCACCTCAATTCTTTCCATCACATCCCTTATTTTGTCCTCTGCATTTGTTATTGTTTAGGGTTTAGTCAGAGACAAGTTTCTGGAAGTGAAAAAAATGGTCGGAAGAATTTTTTTTTTTTTAAAAATGGCTTCCTTAAACTTGATTCTCGAATCCAAACATTTTGAAAGAAATCGACATATGGAAACTTATTTCCAGAAGTCAAATAACAAAAATGCTTTTGAAAGTAAGTCTTTAGAAGCCATATTAAAAAATGGCTTTATAGAAACAACAAATACAAAAAAAAAAAAGAGGTGAAGGAAGAAGTTGGGGTGGTAATTAATAGTGGGGGGTGGTTGATGGTGGAGAGGGGTGGGAGAGATTTGGGTTGGAGAGAGGGGTATTTTGAAAAATGAAAGTAAAAAATCGGGGGTGCGAAAAGCAGAAGGGGGGGGGGGGGGAAGCAATCCACTCTAAAAAGCAGAAAAAAAAAACCCAAGTAAATCCATGCGAGCGTAAGCCCTCGGTAAAGCCTGGAACATCGCCATCTCAATTTTCATTCATTTTTGCTTTCCCAAAACACAAAGACCCACACTCTGTCGACAAAGCTCTCCCCAACCAACAATGGCGTTGGCGAATCTCCACAGGCTGTCATCCCAAACGCACCGCCTCCCCTCTCTCACATTCTTCTCAAAGTCCTTAATCTCCCGACCCTCCTCCTCCTCCTCCAAGAAAGTCTCGGACCGCATCGTGCGTCTTTCCGCCATCGACTTCCAAGGCAAGAAGCACGAGGTCGTTGGGCTTTCCGGCCAAACCCTCCTCAAGGCCCTAATCAACACCGGTCTCATCGACCCTAACTCCCACCGCCTCGAAGAGATCGACGCCTGTTCCGCCGAGTGCGAAGTCAACATCGCCCAAGAGTGGCTCGAGAAGCTTCCTCCGAGGTCCTACGACGAGGAATACGTCCTCAAGCGTAACGCCCGAGCCAGGGTCCTTAACAAGCACTCTAGGCTCGGATGCCAGGTTCTCCTCGACCATGATCTCCAAGGTATGGTCGTCGCACTCCCCGAACCAAAGCCCTGGGACACTTCCTAGGTTTTTATTTTTGCTGGAATTCAGGGCTTTTTTTGTTGAATAATGTGATCTATTTGGAGAAATAGCAGAACTTGTTGAACCTTGCAGTGGTTTATTGTTGTTATTTTCCGGTATGCTGAAAGCTGTTTTCGGTATTTTGGACTCTCGTGCCAGTAATTGGCAATGAATAACTATTTACGACGATGTGTTTTGTGATGAGTAGCCATTAAACTGGTGCGGTAGCATCTTGGTGCCATAGCATTTTGTGGCTTGTTCTGACTCCAATTCCTCCTAATTTTTTAATGCCAAAAATAAATGTAGAATTCTTTTGCAGGGGGAGGGGAGTAATTAGTGTTTCTCTTTGTAGGGAGAATTATGGTTTAGGGTTTCATCATGAACCTATTTTCGATGTAGCATGATTGATTGTAAGAATGGTTGATAAGGTAAATCTATTGGCTGTCTTTGAATGTTGTTAACCACACATTTGGATAATCATCTGATGTAAGAAGATCCTGAATTCTGATTTTACGAATTTGTTATGATGTTTAGGTTGTGTTTAGCACAAGGACAAATAGGAATAGAGCAACTTGTTCTGTTCCGTCCTCTTTGGTTTGACTAAGAGGTGGAACCAAAATGTACAGCTTTTTATACCCTTGTGTTCTGTGATGTTCTACTTTAAATATGCATCAAACATAGATCAGAACTCATGTTTTGTTCTGTCCTATTCTAAATGGTGTACCAAAATGCACCTTAGTTCCTTGTTTTTGTGAAAATGGATAGAAAGCACGTAGGTGGCCCAACACAGTCATGTGAGCAAGATAAATTATCCCTAAACCTTAACATTATGGCTAGAGAAAAGCAGTGGCAGAATATATACACATATTTGACCTTAGATTCAAAGCCTAAGTGCTTCTCTTAGAAGCACCCAGCCAGTTTCCTGATGTAAAATCTCCACATTTTTTTTAAATTAATTTTGTAATGTAAAAGGTTTTGAAACACTCATGCTCATGCATTGGCCAAGTCTTAACATGCATAAAGTTGTCTTATGCCCATTTTCGCTTGAAAAGGAGACCTGTGTGTTAAAATGAAATAGCATTATGGTTGAAAACAAAAGGCCCTAAATTACAGGGAACCAAGTTGAAGTTATTGCTTGGTAGTTAATTAGATGGATGGTTTGTTATTTGAAGCAATGATTGATGAATGTGTTGTTTACATGAATGTGAATTTGTTGAGGCTTGAATGATTAAGTAGATTTGGGACAATATGAAGCTATGATTCAGGAACATTTTTTGATAAATTGAAGTGCGCAAGTGCTTTTACAGTAATTAAAGAAGTTGTTATTTGCAGCAGTAGTTAGGCATCTGTAATCTGGGAATATTATGACATAGTCTATGTGAGGATCTCAACCTAATTAATAGAAATGTTTTATTTCTCTTGGCTTAGTGTGCTTTAAGCTACTTGAAAGAAGTAATAGTTTTGAATTTTGGATTTTGATGGGGCAGTTTTTGGTTTTGAAAATGCATGTGCCCTTCTAATTGTATAGGAAACTAGGAATATTATAGTAGCACATCAAGAACGATTCAAATCAATTAAATATATAACAGGAAGAATTTTTTTTCTTTTGTGATGGGTTTTATTAAGCCTTCATGCATGATTTATCCTTCAAAGTATAATGATACTTTAATTTAGGGATAACAATTGATGTTATTTACTAGCAGGATACAAATGAACCTTTGTTGTATATCCTATCTATATAACTAAAGGCACTGGCCGCAATGTATGCTGTAGCTTCCTCTTACAAATTGTTTGCTTCAAAGAAGGAAGGAGAGGGGAAAGATTTTAATGGAAGGGAGTGGAGCGGAGAAGAAAAATAAAATTCCCTTATTTGGTTTGGTTGAATGGGAGAGGAGGGAAAATAAAAGTAATTTACTATTTTACTTTTACTGAAGGTAGAGGAAAAGAAGCAACGGATCCAAAACTAAGGCTTACATGACATGAAAGTGAAGAAGCTTTTGGAACAGAGTGTTGTCAGGGATATTATATTAATATATGTGAGATCAGTTTTGAAATTAAAAAAAAGGATGGTTTAATTAACACAGTCCACAAATATCAAGTCATTTTGTTCCCATCTGAATCCCCCCATTCTGAATGGGAGATGAAAATTGGAGGCCGGGCCTGTTTGCTTCACATTTTTATTTCCCGTTTCCATTTTCTGTTTTATGGAATTTTACATAGTAAAAACTGGAAATGTTGGAAACAAAAATTTGCTGTTTCCAGCATTACCAGTTTTTCCTTTGTAAAATTTTAGAAAACATGAATTAGAATGAAAACAGAAAATGGAAACATGAAATGAAAATGTAAACCAAACCGGCCCAAAATCCCGTAATGAGGAATCTTTTTAGTACCCCTCTCCCATCCCCTCCCCTCCCCTGCATTCTCCTCAAACCAAAGTGTTAGTAATGCTTAATGTCTTTTTTAATGAATTTAGTATAATAAATAGATGGTTGAATAAGTGGCTGACATGGCATATCATTCTGTCAAGCGCCCAAAAGTTAGTCATTGCATAGTGGTAGAGAAAAGTTGCTGATAATTTGTAATGGGGTGGTTGGAACTTGGTCCTGGGTTTGCTGAAGATTCTTTATTCATACCACATTTGGATCCACTCTTCTCTTCTCCCCAATAAAAGGAATTTATCTTCTCATTTCCTAGTTTTGATCAAATTGAATCTCACTTGATAATTTGTACGGATTTCAAGTTCGGGACAAATTGTTTTGGCTTTTCCTAATCAGCGTTTGGGATGTTTGTTAGTTTTTAGATTTTTTTTTTTAAAAAATTAAAATCAAGTTTTTACAATTTAAAATTAAAACTCAAAAACGTCTTTTTATGGTTTAATAAAAAAAAAAGAAAAGACTGAAAACAGTTTTGGATATGAAAATTTAAAACCAAATACTAAAAACAGAAACATCCCAAATGACTGAGTCCTAAATTTTTAGGTGTAATTGGTTGATTTGATAAGTGATAAGCCATTATCAATATGAAAGCGGGTGATAATGAATATCTTCCAACATTTGGCATCAGTTTGCTGTCATTTCTGTTCATAAATTATAATTGGTTTGAACTTCATTTGACAGGAGTGTACTGCTTTTTGAGATACACAATCCCTCGTTCTAATTCTGTATGCAAAACATGATAATAGAGCTGATAATAACTAAATATGAGCTTGATGTTTTAGGGTGCCTAAGGAAGATTTTTTGTTTGGACCATGATTTCTGCCTGCATTAAGTGTCATTATCTCAATGTTTCTTATGTCATGCCTAATAGAGTTGCAGTGACATTTCTTATCTTGCCACAGTTAGTAGAAGACTAAGTATTGAAATTATTGTCTTGAGTATTTATTCCTTG